ATCCACTCTTCCAAGCCTCAACCCTTGCTCTCTCTACGGATCTCTGAGTCGTCGTAAAATTTTTTTATTTCATCGTTCGCGATTGAATTCCGAATTTTGTTTTTCACTGATTCTGCATATTTTTGGATAAAAATCATCAATTGGGGTTTAGATGTTTAGGCATTCAATATTTCTGCAAAATACATGCGATTTTTTCTGTTTGATACCTGTTAGTGTTTGATACCTGTTAGTCTACGTAGTTGGTGGTGGACGGGAAAATCTTAGGGTTTTGTGATCCTGAGGAGATGGGGTGAAATTATATTATTTATAGGATAAAGTAACTTTGAGCTTAAATTTGATCACTTAAATCCGAAGAAATTTGGGATTGTAACTTATTTTCTTTGTTGCTGGATTGCCTATAATGTCTATGTTTTATGAGATTATTGTGAATCTATTATTTTGGGGTGATGATATCAGTGACTCAAGAGCTGATCCTAGCTTGTTTAAATGATTCCAAACTCTTTTTTGTCTTCTTCAATTCCTCATTTGATTTTGAGTTTCTTTATTCACCTTGCAATGCAGAAACAGTTAGTTGTAGAGAAGCCTTTCATCCTCCTGCAATAGGTTTTAGTGGATATATTTGAACCCGTCCCCTACCGTGTTCTACATTATAGACTTCTTTCTGTACGCTTGCTGCCACTTAAATGTTTAGTGTTGGTTTGATTTGATATTTAAGATAATTTGAGAATGATGGTAAATAATGATACGTTGCTAGACACCATGATAAAGAGACACCAGCAACTGTTTTTTGCACTTTTTTTTTTTTTTAACATTTATGAAGTGATTGGTTCATATATTAATTATCTTGAATTTAAAAAACTTAATTTATTACACATTAATAATAAAAAAACACATGTTATATGGATTAATAATATCATGAGTGTTGATGAAATGTATATATAAAAAAAAAAAGTATTGCTATCATACCTTCTCTTAGAAAGTACGAACAAATAAGTTATTATCTCAATATAAAACAAATAAAGAAAAACAAAAACAAAAAAAAAAGGGCAAATTATGCAGATAATCAATTTGAAAAACCACACATTTAACTATTATGGCAAATCATCTAGAGCCTTAATGTTGAACAATTTTCAAGATATAAAACCACTCACAAACCATCTCAAACATAAACAAATAAAAAAAATCAAGAAAAAAGAACATAGCAGATTTAGACAACA